TTTGTAGTGAAGAATTTATGCAGCATCAGAAGCGCTTTAGCCGAGCGCGCTAACGTTACTCCTCCTAATCAACACACACGTTCAGCTCCGTCTCCTCATTATTCACCACCATCACTGTAACATTTCATCATCTACATTAACAGATGAAGGTGATCAGAGGGGCGGTGGAGTTCGAGTCTGCAGTGTCTGAGATTTTAAAACGCAGAGTTAGAAAAGAACATCTCACAGTGAAAGCAGCGTTTTACAGTGTGAACACATGGAGCTCATTATGCTAATAGTGAACTAAGCTACCTGACTCAGCTGCCTAAAAGCCAGATAATAACGGCTCCAGGCTCCCTTTGTAGTGCAGGTCAGACGATGGCATCAACACCAAAATAGTGATATAGAAAGTCATCGTTCCAATAGTTTGTGAAGTTCTGAATGTGGATGCCGGGGCGCTTTTCCTTGCGAGACCAGGGTCCACAAACCATTCTTTGGAGTCAGTCACCAAAGACGTTCTGAAAGCCATTGTGAAGACCATCATTGACGCTCTTGATGACCCTCACATGTGTGAGCTGCGTAGAAATGTGACAGAAAAGACTGAGCTCCTGGCATCTTCATGTGGGTCAGTTGAGCTCCGTAATTTGTCACTGTCTGTTGAGCCCAGTGCTGAGAGCTTGATGTCCAAAGACCAGGCACAACTTCAGGAATGTGCTAAAGATGTGATTCTTGAGGTTTACACCATCTATCGGGCCGAAGAACTCAAGAGTGCGTCAGATTTGTCTTGCCCTCCAAAGATGTGCGCGACAGATTTTGCAGAATGTTTGCTATCAGAGCTGGGTGACATGAAAACGTCCTCTCAGAGTTCATCGATCAGTGATGACATCAGCTCTGATCCAGCCTGGGGTGCAAGTGACAGCATGGCTGATAAAGCACTCAAAAGATCTAAGTCCTGTCATAGAATCCCCCGCCTCATGGAACTCACAAATACGGCTCGCAAGATGGAGACTTCTGTTCCTGGACAAACTCTGAGGCACGCGTCCTTGTATGCCAGAATCGTTGTGGATGAGCTGTTAGTCCAACTGGACTCATTTACAAATTTTAGCCTCTTTGTTCCAAATATGACCTGTCCTGACCATCTTTAACACTGTCTTACATATTGTATTGTCAGCACCTTTAAAACCCCTTAAATGGCATCTGTACAGCTGTCTCACCCAGCAGTGCACTGTAATCATACCACCCAGCTTCACATCTGTACAGCTGTCTCACCCAGCAGCGCACTGTAAACATACCGCCCAGCTTCACATCTGTACAGCTGTCTCATCCCAGCAGTGCAGCCATGGAGGCTCATAAGGTTTGGAGGATGGACAGGTGAGATACTGTGCTTGTGCGCAGCAGAATCAGTCAGTTGAAGCATTTAGGTAGCTGGAACAAATGAAAGGCTGCAGAATGAAATCTAAGACTGATCACAG